TTGGGCTTCTCAGATTACCCAGAACTGAAAGTTCCCCTCTTCTTAATATTTCTCACTGTCTACAGCATCACCGTGGTGGGGAATATCGGCATGATCCTCATAATCAGAATTAACCCCAAACTGCACACCCCCATGTACTTCTTCCTCAGACACCTCTCCTTTGTGGATTTCTGCTACTCCTCCATCATTGCTCCCAAGATGCTGTTGAACTTAATTGTAAAAGACAGAACCATTTCCATTTTAGAATGTATAATACAATATTTTCTCTTTGCTATTTTTGTAGTAACAGAAGCATTTTTGTTGGTGGTGATGGCCTATGATAGGTTTGTGGCCATCTGTAACCCCTTGCTCTACACAGTAACCATGTCCCAGAAGCTCTGTCTCACTCTGGTGGTGGGATCCTATGCATGGGGCTTCACGTGCTCTGTGACACTGACATGTTCTCTTGCACAATTGTCTTTTGTTGGTGTCAACACAATTGACCACTTCTTCTGTGAATTTTCTTCTTTGCTCGCCCTCTCTTGTTCTAACACACAAGAGACCCAGCTACTGCTATTCATTTTTACCACATTTAATGCGGTCAGCACACTCCTGCTCATTCTCTTGTCTTACCTGTTCATTGTTGTCACCATTTTGAGGATGAATTCAGCCAGTGGACGCCGCAAAGCCTTCTCCACCTGTGCCTCCCACCTGACAGCTATCACCATCTTCCATGGTACCATTCTGTTCCTCTTCTGTGTGCCCAACTCCAAGAACTCCAGGCTCACAGTCAAAGTGGGTTCCCTGTTTTACACCCTCGTTATCCCCATGTTGAACCCCCTGATCTACAGTTTGAGGAATAAGGATGTTAAGGAGTCTATCATGAGAGTAATGACCATGATTCCCTGTGTTAAGGATGTTAGTCATAATCGAAATTGTCAGATAGTTGGAGATTAATCATCTTGTGATTGAGCATAATATAGTTATGAGGTGTTTTTTGAATACATAAGTTGGCATCAGGTATAAATTAGATATATGTTTAAAGTTAGTAGAGATAATATTGTGCAATGAAAAAATAATGGATTTTCATTCAGAGAGACAAAAATTGCTTCATCTATTTTTCTGGAATAAAATAAAAAAATTCTCTTTGTTTAAAATTTCATTAAAAATCAGGTTCTTGTGAAATGGCTCACAATATGGTTATTAAGTTTACAGGATCCAATCCACATCATTTGGAGTGTCTTTTACAGTCAATAAATATTATTCCATTCTCTAATCCTATCAGATTCCTAGAGCATATTTATAAGGTGTAAACATTATTTTGTATAATAGTAGTCATAATGAAGATAAGACTTAGTGTTTGCCTTCAAAGATGCAAACATCCAGTGTAGATTGTATGGCAATGTGAATGTGACCATTTAATGATTCAGAAAATAATATCTATAGGTTTTGATGAAAGTGTATATCAAAATCTATTGAAGAATGGTAGGTAAATACATTCATAAAATATTGATTACTAAAAATCAATTACGTAAAATTGTGTAGGTGCATTTTTTCGTAAAATTTTAGTTTGGAATTCGTTATACTAGAGAGAACAGGTCAAATATAAACTTGACATGTAAGAATTTTGACTTTGTATCTTTAATCAAAAACTTTTTAGGGGTGCTAAATTGGCATAATTTCTGTGTATTTGTGTATGTGTCTGCATGTTCTTGGAAAGAAGATAAAATTAAATGTCTGTGATGTATACTTCAATGGACTTTAAGGAATCTCATGTGCGGTAGTGAGATTATCTATGACAGAGTCCACCAAAAGTTGGAAACTGTTGTACTGGATCAAAGGAAAACTGACTTCAGAAATTGGAATTATGCGATCCTGTTCACATTATATTTTATACAGTTGTTGTTATAAGGCTCAGAAAGCTCCAAAAAGTTGCAAGAATCTGAAGCTCTTTGCTCAAGGTTATATGAGTTGGTTCAAGTTTCTCAGAGAAGAGACTGTATGATTGTGGAAGCGGCCTGAAATATATGCTAGAAATCCAGAGATGCAGATCTTCTGAGCTGTTGCTCAGGCTGGCATGGACGTTTCTGTGAAACAGCTGGCTTGTGTCACTCAGGATAATGAAATTTATCCCCTCAATCACTGTGTACATTCCCTGAGTATCATCTTAATAAAATCACTGTGACTATAGAAGACTTAGGGGTAATTATTTGTCCAGCTTGTTACCAGTGCCCTATCTGGGGTGAATACAAGTTTGCTCACATTTCCCTACGGGGGAAATTACACTTATCTTTTCCTACTTAAGTCCATCAACACATGTACCTTCTTTTTAATAGTCAATATTCTTATTATTGTGAAAAAAAAAGATGATTTCCCTATGACATTTTCATGTACATTATCATTGTTCTTTGTTCATATATTGTCAGGAGAGATACACAGGTATCACCATAAGTTTGATGCAATCCTGATCTACACAGCGAGTTCAACTCAAGCCAGGAATGCATATGAGCACCTTTCTCAACTATTGCATTCCAAAAATATAAGCTAGCAAACTTTTAGCAGTAAAAGTGAAGGAAGAAAATGACTAACAATTATCCAAGCAATCAGAAGACCAAACAACAAAGACACAGGGGGCAACAAACTCATTGCAATAGTATCCTTGAAAATAAATATACTCAATTCACCATTTAAAAGATGGGTTAGAATACATTGAGCAGGGCTGTAGAAATGACTCAGTAGCTAATAGTTCATGCTCCACAAATGATTGCTGGAGTTTGGATGGCAGCAGCTATGCAACCAGCCTTCCAGCCCAGCACACACCCTTTTTCCCTTCCTCCAGGGCATGGAGACTGGAGGACCATTGGAGGTTTGATGTATTATAGTCTTGCCCAAACACAAACTCCAGATACAGATAGAGCTCATACCACAGAGAAATAGGCCTACACACACTGAGAGAGAGAGAGAGAGAGAGAGAGAGAGAGAGAGAGAGAGAGAAAGAGAGAGATACACAGAGAGACAACAGTGGAATGATGTCATGAAGTTAGGATGGGGACAAGTTGTGGGGAAACATGGGGGGTTAGAAGGGAGAGAGAGATACATGATTATATTTCATGGTGTACATGTATGAAATTCTCAAATACACACAGAGACACATATACAAAAGATGCAAAAATTACATAAATAAACAAACAAAATGAATCCAACAAAAAACAAAAATCCAGCTCTCAATTTTCTTCATGAAGAAAGTCCACTGAGAAAGACATCTTAAAGCAGAGATCCCCCAAATGGAAATCAATCTATCAAGCTAATGAACTGGCACAATATTATCACATATTACAAAGTAATCTTCAGTTCAAAACTATTTAGAAGTACAGGAAATGCCAAAATATTCATAAAGAGAACAATCATTAAGAATATATAATTACACAGATTTAAGTAATAATAATATGGTTTACATCTAAAAAATCAGAATGTTCAGTTATAGACATGAAATAACAGGAATCTTGATATAGCACATTAGGAGACTTCAACACTCCACTCTGTTTTTGAGAAGCTAAAATCCTGTAAGAAATGTCAGAGGTAAACAGTACCATAGATTAATTTAATTTAACATATGTATAGATCATTTCATCCAAACAATTAGGGCAAGATTCGTTTGTCTTTGAGTCAGTCACCTCATGTTTACAGGTGACATTAAATATTGATTATATTCATTTATATAAAGGTGGAATTTGTCAATATTTATACCTAGTATAGTACTCACTACGTGGGAAGGACTCAGGAACTGTAAGCAGTAACTATTAATAAGTGATATTCATTATAACTCTTTTTTAGTTTGTTGGACAATCTCTTTGGTGCTTTCAGTCCTTTTATTATGTGTCCTGGGCTGTAGATAAGAATGTGTCTTATGAGATATACTCACATAACATATATTGTTCAGCAAATCATCATGGAAATTATGTTTTATTATACAATGAGCCGTTTTTAATTTCTTCCATTTTATGTGAAATAGTACTAAGAATCGTTTGAATCTCAAGACAGAGAAATTCTCTTTCTATCACGTTGATATCCCACAGAGACGGGTACTTGTTTTGAGAAGCTTTAGAATAATGGGCCTCAGGGATTTTCATTCAAACATAAAAATTGTACCATATTCTGTAGTGACATTTTCAGGAGCAGAGTGAACACTCTGATGTCTCTTCCACAGGTTGGTTGGTTGAAATTGTTGTTGCAAGAAGTATTTTGGGTAATGCATAGGAATATTATTCATGAGCACTAGAAAACTGAATTCAATTCTTTATGGAAGATTTTGAATATATTCATATTTAGGAAAAGAAGAATTTGTAAAAGAGGGCTTTAATAGTACAAAACTTAAAATACTGTGTTTCATTCCTCACTTAATTAGTATATGTGCAGAAAAATATGCATTGAGTGCCTATTTAGGAAAAATACACTCCTTATTTGGTAAGGGATGTTCTCAGTGGAATTGGTAGCAACTTAGTCTGCAGAACCACATACTCCCACTACTGATCTAAGAGGGAAGTGATGTGCACAGATAGGGGAATGCTTGCTTTTCTGTATATTTTTCTTCTCTCACACGAACTTCATTTTTCCCATCTGCCTGGAGTGTCTTCTCACAGCTAACCCAAGGTTCAGGGTGGCACTAAGAGATTGGTAGAGGTGTCTACGCAGGAGCACAGACTTGTGAGCCTCCTTTGAAGAAGTGAAGTGAGGACTTACTTCCACTTTGTGAGGAACACTATGAAATGTCTCTCTAAAGGTCTCGATTGTGGTCCATGTGAGAATTCAGCCTTGATCATGTTTTGTTTGGAGTAAGAAACTGTCAAGTCATTGTGGAGTTCAGCAGCCTTCCCAATGCATGTCAGCAGAAATATGTCCCTACTGTGATTGTGGAAAGTGTCTCTGTGCACTGACATGTCCTATGAGGCAAATTCTCTATTGGTAACGAATCTGTGTTTTACAGGCTATCAGCAGCCTGATTTGTATTCACTGAGTTTTCTAATGGAAAAGCATTTTAAAAGTTATGTTTCGCCTTTGATTTCAGGGAAAGACAAATTAAGTCACTTTTTTTGTACATTTGAAGAAGAAAAAGTTATAATCAAAGGAATTATGTGTGTTCAAATTAAGGTTTTTAAAAATCAATCAACTGATATTTTTAAATCAGTTAACAAATTGAGTAAATACCTTCTTGTGGTGATCTCTCCATTTCTTCCCTTCACACATAACAGCTTGATGCATCTTTTTTCATGAATTCTTCTAAGGGTCAAGGCAAGAATGGACATAGAAGACTTCTGACTTCCTGAACTCACTATGTGTCAAAGCTTTAAGAGATTTCTCCCTCACATTCATTTACCAAAACAATTCAAACTTCCCAATTATACACAGTAAAATTGTTTTTCATGAGAATTCAGGTAAGATTATATTTCCTATTATTAAAATAGAACATTAATAATATTTATTTTATGGATGAAATACACCATGCAACTTGTATCTTGTGTGTGTGTGTGTGTGTGTGTGTGTGTGTGTGTGTAAACTCACACTTGCTTTTTTGGAAACTCAGTGAAGATTACCTTGTATTTTAGAAGTAATCTCCCAATATCCTAATATTTAGAATATTGATTGATGTGTTCTTGAGGTAAACTGAACTTGAACTTTAGAGAGTGATCTGACTAACCAACTAAATAATACTTTGATGCATGTCTTTGGGAGTCAAGGCCATGTGTGCAATTATGATACAACTAACAAAAATAAACATATAATATTTATAAATTTCAACTTTATGGGATTTCTGAATTGAAATATAGATTTTATATAGTCTTGTTATCAATGTCTAAATTTATGTTAAATTTGAAGTGAAAATTGTCTAGTATTGTTGCAAATATATTATTCCTGCATCCAATGTTTTTATTTCCTTTGTGTGTGTGTATGTATGTGAGTAACAGAGACAGAGAGAGAGAGAGAGAGAGAGAGAGAGTCCAAACTATACCTTAGATTGTAAAATGAAGAATTTAAAAATACTTTCTTTAGAGTTATTTAAATCGGACACATGGATGAGGAAAACTGCACAGCTGTGACAGAATTCATTCTCCAGGGGTTTTCCGATGTCCCGGAGCTGAGTGTTTTTCTCTCCTTGGTGTTTCTTCTCATTTATGGAATCACCGTTGTAGCCAACCTGGGCATGGCTGCACTGATTCAGGCCAGCTCTCAACTTCACACCCCCATGTACTTTTTTCTTACCCACTTGTCCTTTGTGGATTTCTGTTACTCCTCCATCATTGTGCCCAAAATGTTGTCTAACATGTTCAACCAGGAAAAAGCCATATCCTTCCTGGCATGCATGGTCCAATTCTATTTTTTTTGCACCTGTGTGGTCACTGAGGTCTTCCTGCTGGCTGTGATGGCCTATGACCGCTTTGTGGCCATTTGTAACCCACTGCTCTACATAGTCATCATGTCTCCAAAGCTCCGTATGGGGTTGGTGTCTGGCTGCTACCTCTGTGCATCAGCATGTGCCCTGATTCACTTAGGTTTAGCCCTTGAGATCCCATCATATAAGACTAATGTGATCAACCACTTCTTCTGTGATCTGCCTCCTCTTTTAAGCCTTGCTTGCTCAGATGTCACTGTTAACAAAGTGCTGTTGTTCGCTGTGGCCACCTTCAATGAGAGTGTTACCATTGTGATCATCTTCACCTCCTACCTGTTTATTCTCATCACCATCTTGAGGATGCGCTCTGCAGAGGGAAGGCGCAAAGCCTTTTCCACTTGCGTCTCCCATATCACAGCCATCGTTGTCTTCCATGGAACAATCCTTTCCATTTATTGTCCGTCCACTTCGGACACCAGTGGGGAGTCTGACAAAGTGGCCACAGTGTTCTACACTGTAGTGATTCCCATGCTGAACCCCTTGATCTATAGCCTCAGGAACAAGGATGTGAAAGGTGCTCTCAGCAAAATTGTGAGCTCTAAAATACATTCCTAGAGAACATTTTATGACTGGAACTCAGAATTTCAAGAGAGACTAATGGGGTATCATAGATGGGATAAAAAGGTGGGATGCAAAAAGAAGTAACGAGTAGAGCAGTTATGAGTGACTCTTTTGTGCCAATTATTTTCTTTATAGTATTTTTGATGTCCTTATTTCTCAGCGTGGTAACAAGGATGAACCTGTAGGACAAAAGGATGACTGTTATTTGTCTTTGACAGCAACGTGGCTTCTTTTCATCTGGATAAGAGGGTTTATACTGAAACAAAAACAGTAAGAGGCAGTAGATATCAGAAGCTTGGTTCATTTTGTGTATATCACACTCTTATGAAATATGTCCTAAGTGAAAAGCAAGTATCTCTTTCAATATCTGGGTACTTATTTTGTTGGAGGGACTAAAGATCTAAAGTATGTAAAAAGCGCAAACATATTGAAATGTCCATAGAACAATATAGTTTGGAGAGAATATTTACATAGTTGACTATAAATATTTTAATGCTTGTGGTAGCATGAGCTTGAGATCACTTTCTCTTTTATCTTCAATTCATTTTTATATATTATGACCCTCCTTCATTTTTAATATAAATTTATAAGTTTGGAACCTATTGCTATAACTATCTTTCATAATGTTGCAATAAATGAAATGATCTAAAATTAATTTATGTCAGATGGTCATTCATTGGTGTTGTGAATAAATGCACATAAACATAATATTGCTCATTTTGTGCCATTCATATTGGTCTTTTATATTTCCATATATCTGCCCTAGGAAACCTTACTCTAAAATAGACTTTATTTCATTAAAGAGAGAAAGTTCTTCAACTCACATAATTCTTGATCATTCTTTTCATACTGTCAAAGCATAATGAAATAAAGAACAAGATAAATCCTTCCTTGACATAGATTAAAATAATAAAAGTTAATGAAGCATGTACCTATGTAGTGAAAACATGGTTTTCTTTATGAAAGTGAATATTTAATTTTCTTTTAAATCGAAAAAACAAACTGGACAATGAGAACCTTAGAACCAATATTATTAGGGAGTGAAACATGTAGTTATAACTTAGGAGACATAAACCCTATAGATTATCTTTTGTCTTGTTATCATCAGGTCACATAAAGCAGTAGCTTTATAAGACATTGATATTAAGTGACACTAGAATTACATAATACATGAGATAATCTGAGACACTGCAGTAGAAGGGAATGTGCAGTTATCAGGTCAAGGGAGCTAGTTGATCTACCACAACATGGTTTTCTTTTTTCTGTTTTTTTTTAATTTTATTTTAGAACTTTCATAACTGTTTTCTACCAGCTTTGTGAAGTAAGTTCTACTTTTTGTCCAATATAGTCATGTCACTTTGCTAGAGACCATTAGATGTAAATTCTCATACCAATCTGCACTCTGTGTCCAGTCAATATCTTTGTAATGTGCTTTTCCATACTCTACCAGACTTGGTAACAAATCTTTTACTCTCTGCTATTTAAACACAATTTTTAAAGCTACTACACACAGGGAAAGCCCTACAATATTTTCTTCCTATACCTGGATATAACTTCCTTCAGTTCCACTGATGTTATGGTAATGACAGAATTTCTTTTTTTGTGGAAAATAATAACCATATACACTAACACACACACACATATGGTCAAGTGAGTTCAAGTATCTTTTCCACATACTGACTTCAGTTCCTTTGTTCACATACTCAATAATGGGATATCCGAATGATGCTGCCTATTAAGAACTGCTAGGGAAAGGTAAACCAATGCCACACTGAGACAATACTTCACCACACTTAAAATAACACTTATCCAAAACACCACCAGTAACAAATACTAGAAAAGTGGGGCATTAAGAGGGTTTTTAGGACACTGTTGACTAGAATGTACATTAATTGAGCTATTATGGCAAACAGAATTAAGGTTCCTTAAATCCTAGGGATCCAGATGTCATATGATCCACCTGCCCCAATACTGAATGATGTATGAAGAAACTAAAGTCAGAATGCATAAGAGATACCTGCATTCATTTATTTTTTTTTACATAGGGCATTAAGAGGGTTTTTAGGACACTGTTGACTAGAATGCACATTAATTGAGCTATTATGGCAAACAGAATGAAGGTTCCTTAAATCCTAGGGATCCAGATGTCATATGATCCACCTGCCCCAATACTGAATGATGTATGAAGAAACTAAAGTCAGAATGCATAAGAGATACCTGCATTCATTTATTTTTTTTTACATCTTCACTCCAAATGCTTAATATATGGAACTAATTTTAATGTCAAATATTATATAAACATGTAAAAATGGTATATGTGCATTGGCATTACTGATTCATAAAATGCTATCATTTCCACAGCATGGATGGAACTGGAGAGCATTAGAGTAAATGAATTCATTCAGGCAGCAAGTTTTTGCATTTTTGCATTAAAAATACAATAACTTTAAAAAATATTTTATTGTTATTTTATTTTATGTGTATGCATGTATTGCCTGCGTGTAGGTAAGTGCAACCATGTTGTGCAATGCCCATGGAGGACAGATGAGGTCGTCAGATCCCCTGGAACTGGAGTTACAGACAGTTGTTAGCTACCATGTGGGTGCTGGGATTCGAACCTGGGTCTTCTGCAAGAACAGCCAGCATTGTTAACTGCTGAGCCATCTCTCCAGAGCCCCAAAATACAATAACTTTTTATCTTAAGTGGCACTTCTACTTTTTATGGAAAATTTGCATTTTTCAAATTTCATACAATAAATTCTAATTATGTTTAGACCCCACCCCTGTCTGGTCTCCCACTTAATATTCTGTGCCTGATTTCATCTTTAAAATAGAAACATATTTTCTGAAATCTCATCCATATTAGGTATCTTATAACAAAAAGGAGTGGAATTAATATCATGAAAAACTACAGGTTTATGACATCATGTTGATGTTATTTTAGAGGTTTCATAATTAGAGTTTAAAGTAACTACATCATAATACTTTTGAAGAGCAAGTTCATAGGATCGAAGAAACTGTTGCTATCAGCAAGTAATTATGAGGACAAAATTCCTCTGAAGTATGTTTCATGTATTTCAAGTGTAGTAAGTGACTATTTAAATTGCAAAAGAACCTCTTTAATGAAACTTTTCAGTATTTCCTATTTAGTCAATGGAAAGCTTCCCAAGAAGATATATTGAAGAAAGAAAATTAATGCCAATTATTTTCTTGAAAGTACCCTAACGTCCTTATGTTTCAAACTGAAAACCATGGGACTCCTAATGGGAATCGTCACAGTACAAAACAGAGTCCACTTTGATGGTCAGCCTGGGGCTTTTGGAACTGGGCACAAAGTAGAGACAATATGGCACCACAGAAGATGGTAGTTGTGGTTAGGTGTGAAGCACAAGTGGAAAAAGCCTGGAGGCACCACTGGCTGAATTCACTTTCAGGATGGTAACAAGGATGAACCGGTAGGACAAAAGGACAACTGTTACTTGTCTCTGACAGCGACATGGCTTCTCTTCATCAGAACAAGAGGTTTATACAGAAACAAAAACAGTAAGAGGAAATGGATGTCAGAAGCTAGATTCACTTCCTGTACATCTCCACACTTAATAAATATGTCCAAAGTGAAAAGCAAGTAACTCTTTCAACATGTGGCTGCTTATATTGTTGGATAGACTACAGAACTAAAATATGTAAAAAGCCCAACCATATTTAAACTGTCAGTAGAACAATCTAATTTTGAGTGACTGTTTATATGGTTGACTATAAATATTTTGGTTCTTATGGTGACAAGAGCTTGATATCACGTTCTCTTTTATCTTCAATTAATATTTATATATTATGATCTGCCTTCATTTTTAATATAAATTTATAAGTTGTGAAGCTATTGGTACAATTGACAATCATAATGCCATAATCAATAAAATGATCTAAAATTAATCTTATGTCAGATATTCATTCATTGGTGTTATGAGTAAATGTGCATAAACATAATATTGTTTATTTTGTGTCATTCATATTGGTCTTTAATATTTCCATCTATTTGCACCAGGAAACCTTATTCGAAAATAGATTCTATTTCACTTAAAGAGAGCAAGTACTTTTCCTCACATAATTCTTTCATCATTCTGTCTATATCATCCAAAGAATAATGAACTCTAAGAACACAACATATTGTTCTTTGACAATGACAGAATAAAATAACATAAGCTAGTGAAGCACAATCCTGTCCAGTGATAACAAATGAAGCACAAAAAATCCTCAGATCTATATCTAGATCTCTAATTCTAAAATTTAATGCTGTGCATTCATTCTTCAACCATAATAGCCTCATTCTCCTTCCGGGTACAGTTATTAATGTAATTTCTTTTTCAAACATCACACTTTCATAAAGGAATAAACAGGAGATTTAAAGTATGGGACTTTAGGGGAAGACAGTAGATGTACCACAGATATAATACCATGCAGTCTCAAGGGACATCATGAAAATCATACTGGGAAATTATTCACACACAGCTTTAATGAACTGTATTAAAGGCTGATGCAGAAACATTGATATTGTTCATTAGTACTGTATGTCTAAAGCAGTAAGATGTTTTCATGCCCATGGTTCTCCTTATGAATGTTAATGTTTAATTTTCTTTTAAATAGAAAAACAAAATTGCCAATGGAAATTTTAGAACCACTTTGTTTGGGAGTGAAATATGCATAGTTTTAGCTTAGGAGACACAAACCCTGTAGACTATCTTTTGTCTTGTCATCACGAGGTCACAAAATAAGCAATTATACGTAATCATGTTATTTGATGCAGTACCTTTATAAGAAAGCCATATTAAGTGACACCAGAATTGCCAGTTCATGGGATAATCTAAGACATTACAGTAGAGAAGGGAATGTACAATTATCAGGTCAAGAGAGTTAGTAGATCTACCACAACATGGTTTATCTTTTCTGTTCTTTTAAATTTGATTTTAGAATTCTCATTATCATTTTCTACCAGCTTT